GCTGATTTGATATTTTTCGGATTTATACCCAAAGAGAACAACACTTCCGAAATTACAGTGTTACACCAGTTTTCTGGACAGATTTGAATACACCAGTTTTCTGGACAGATTTGAATACACCAGTTTTCTGGACAGATTTGAATACACCAGTTTTCTGGACAGATTTGAATACACCAGTTTTCTGGACAGATTTGAATACACCAGTTTTCTGGACAGATTTGAATACACCAGTTTTCTGGACAGATTTGAATACACCAGTTTTCTGGACAGATTGTGTAACACCAGTTTTCTGGACAGATTTGAATGCACCAGTTAATATAGATTTTGACTCCCAAAAATTATAAGAAAATTCTGATATGCAATTCAATATGTAATTAATCAACTGTAAAAATTTCAGTTCAAAATTCATCTGTTTGATAAGGTTTCTTCATTTTTAAAGATTGTGGTTATGTGCAGAATTTCATGCTCATAGATTGTACCCTCAACTTTATATACCCATCTGATATTCTTCAAACTACATAAAATACACATGATATTCACAAACATTGGTGGCCAAGTACTCCTACCTAACCCACGTTTCACTCACAAGATCCACCATTACAAGCAAAAACACTCATGGAATATAACCCATGCCATATACTTGTTCTTCATACATCCACTATACCCATCACACTATTTGACACCAACTATTAACCTGATACACATTGAAGCCACCTAATCAATTAAGCTTTCATTCCATCCTCTTCCAATGAATGCACATAAACATAAATACAAAATAACTATATTCACAGAATATTGGTTTCAACCTTGGAGATGGAGTTATTAAAGCACCAAATTAGTTGTTCAATTTTCACCAAAAGTTACTCCTATCTCCTCTTCATGGCTGCTAGTTGAATAATATGAGAGTTTAGGGTTACCCACACACTTTAAAAAATCTGACTCCCTTATCCTTTTGCTTTTATTTATTTATTTATTTTGTTATTATTAAAATCTTATCTCTAAATTAGAGATTTCCACCATAAATTTATTTTAGGTTTAAAAATTAATTAAAAGACCTTCCAAATATTTAATTTGCACTTTAGGATTAACCACAAAAATATTTGAGATTGTAATGTTATTATTATTTAATTATTTACATAATTTTTATATTTGGGTTCTCACAGAACAGGTAGCTCAGTCAAAATTTTACCTCAACAAGGACTCCTCAAATAGTGACCTGTACGTAAAGAATTTCAATCTCCATCAGGAAAGAAGAAAGAGTCACCTTCCAATTCCTGAAAGTCTAGTGAAAATGATGACTCTGGTAAGGAATGAGGGGGTTGATAGAAAACTAAACTTGGGGGCAGAACAAACAAGCTCAAAGCCAACTGGTTGGTCCAGTTGGGGGATTAAATAATTTCCAAAAAACTGTTCTTGGAAATTCGAAAACCAAGTAAGTTTTTGATTTAAAATTTATAACAATTATTTTAATATATACATTTTCATTCCAACAATATTTTTATACATTAGTCTTCCAATACTATTGGGTTAAGTGGCTATCCATGAGATTTGCAAATTTATTACGAGTGATTTCCAGAAAAAATCAAAATAAAAATTAATCTTCCATACCTATGGGGTTAAGTGGGCGTGCGTGGGAATTACAAATTTGTTACGATTGATCTGCGGATGGGTACGTTACGACCAATGTTCAGTTGATGTTGTAAATGTTTCCCAAAATATTACAAATTGAATATTTAAAAGCTAATTTTAAAATAATTCCAAATGACAATAAAAATTCAGATAGTCATACTTTTCAATGAAATACAAATAGTTGGTCGTAACAACGAATGATGCATAGCTAAGTGAAACACAACATTGCCAACATAAGCTTCCTTTTTTCACACATTGAGTAGTCAAATCGTGGAGAGACTTGTAGTATATGAAGATGGATTATCAAGTCATATGACTTGGTGCATAGGCTTTGGTTTTCTCGATTTTTTGATTACAGTGACAACTCATCTCTTATTGATATATGTAGGATTCTCAATTCAGAAAGTCATATGGTAACAGTGAATTCACTAATTTACCTTATAGTGAGCATGTCCTTATTTTGTCGGTATATACAGATAGATTGTCAAGTCATGTGACTTGGTACACAGGCATTGCTTTTCTCTGTTTTCTGATTATAGTGACAACTCATCTCTTATTGATATATGTGAGATTGTCAATTCAGAAAGTCACATGGCAACAGTGAATTCACTGATTTACCTTATAGTGAGCATGCCCTTATTTTGTCGGTATATGCAGATGGATTGTCAAGTCACGTGACTTGGTACATAGTATTTGCTTTTCTCTATTTTTTCATTCTAGTGACAACTCATACCTTGTTCGTATATGTGGGATTGTCATGAAGAGGCATTTATTTTCTATGATTTTTCCTTCAATGTCTTTCTAAAGCCGTTCATAACCAACTATATAAACGACTAAAGGTGAAGATACAACCTTACAACTCATTTCGCCCTACGAAATTATCATTCATTTGTTTAAAAAAATTAGCATGGCTACACGATTCATGGGAGAGAGTGGGAATCGCAGAGGTGGTAGGAACTTGCAAAGGGGTGACAGTTCACGACGAGGAGGGGGAAGGGGACGTGGCGATGCTGAAGACGAAATAACAATACCTGTTTTAGATTATGCTTGTGGTTATCGTGATAGGTTTGGGAAGCGACATTTTTTGATGCCCAAGTATTACCGAGTTCAAGGAGGTTCATGTATGGAGCCATCTGACAATCAAACAGGATATGGTTTATCTGACGCTGCTCGTCTCAAGTGGCCCGCATTATTTATAGAGTGGGTACAGTTGGAAACTTTAAGTCGGGAAAATCAACTTAAGGTGCCGAAAGCATGTTCTGTTGAGATCCAAAAAGAAGATCCTGATAATGTTGATCGACTATGTGAAAGACTACAACATGAGATTTTTCAGATACGCCGTAGGTTAGCCCGCGATATGCAACTATACATAGTTAAGAAGGATGCCCAGAAGAACAGAACAGAACTAAATGTTGCGGCTATCAAGGGTATTATGGAAGATCCTGAACTTGTCTCGGACGCTGAGCTTTCGGATTATTCAGACTCTGAGATTGCCGATTTAAGTGCGAATTAGGTGTTTATGTCTATACTTCGACAATATTAGGTCATGCATTAATATGTAATGTCTGTGTTAGACTAAGTGTTTCCGTAATGAGTTTGTCAGATTTTCTGCCTAGTATTTGTCTGTCTAACTGTTATGTTTATGTATTGTGTATTCAGTTCAGGATGTCCAAGATGTATGTATTGTGAGAGACTTATGTCTGTACTACCTATGTAATTGAAAACTGTTACATTTGCAACTTCAGTTATGTTGTTTTCATGTCTGTATGAGTATTTAGTAAATTAGTGACTTCGTATATTATGTATTAAGTTTTATTACAAAAATGTTGACAAAATTTATTTTAGGAGAAATACACGTTCTCTTAACTTGTTCATCCTCTCAATTGTGACAACCCAAAAATGTAACCATTATTCATTGAATATAACAAATAACGTTCTCATTCTTACAAAAAATACACTATCAATTGAATAAAACAAATAACATTTCCATTCATTCATTTATTGCACAACATCAGTCTTATGAAATAAGCGAAACCAATTGAATCACAATAACATCAACTCCAACTCAATATTTACATTACATAAGTTCTTGTTTGTAATCAGAATTCAAATTACATACAAGTTACATTATATAGCAAAAAACGAAAAAAGTACCATTCGTATGTAAAAAATACATCACCAAAATTTGAGGTCTTTCTCTTCTTCCTTCTTGCTGCAGCTCTCGAGGTGGCCTTGGTCTTCTTGGCCTACTCTGTGGTGCTCTTCGCGTCTCACCCTTCATCGTTGTTCGTCGAACTGCACAGTGTGTAGGTGTGCTTCGGACTGTAGAGCATGTATATCACCTTCTAACCCAAAACAAAGACAAAAGAAAAAATATATATATTTAAATGAAAACGGCTTTAGTAAAGCCAAAATAAATTTCTGAATAACACCTTCTAACCCAAAACAAAGACAAAAGAAAAAAAAGAAAATTTTACATGAAAACAACTTTAGTAAAGCCAAAAGAAATTTCTAAATTACATTATCACCTTCTAACCCAAAACAAAGACAAAAGAAAAAATAAAAAAAATTTACATGAAAATAGCTTTAGTAAAGCCAAAATTTTTTTTTGAATTACACCGTCTAACCCAAAACAAAGATAAAAGAAAAAAAAAATTTAACATGAGAACGGCTTTAGTAAAGCCAAAAAAAATTTATGAATTACATTATCACCAAAACAATGACAACAGAAAATAATAATAATAATAATAATAATAAAATAAAATAAAATTTAAACGAACAGTAAAAGCATAGTTGCAATCCACGCTTCTTGTTTTCAACAGTGAAAGCGTGATTGTGAATTACGTTTTCTTAAGAAACCAAATATGCACAGTGAAAGCGTGGTTTGGAACCACGTTTTCTTCAGAAAACAAAAATTTTATAAGCATAGTAAAAGCGTGGTTTGAAACCACGTTTTCTGGAGAAAACAAATTTTGGTTAAAAGCGTGCTTTCTAACCACATTTTATGTATAAATGAAATTTCCTTAAAAGCGTGGTTTGTAACCACGCTTTCTTAATTAAAAAGCGTGGTTTGTAACCACGCTTTACTATTTCACAAATTTTCCGCGAGAGGGTCGTAGAAACAGTGAAAGCATGGTTTGTAATAGCGCTTCAGCCTAGTTTGAAATTTCGTCCAAACTAGGCCTAGTTTGGGAATTAAGTTGCTATTTTGGCTTAATTTGGGAAAAGTCTCAATTTTCTTATGTTCAGTACTAAACATGAAGCTCCAAAATTTATGCCAAAGATAAAGTAAGATATAAGAACCTTAGATTAAAAAATATCAAGGGAAAGATGAGCATATCATGTCAGTTTAATATGCAAAGACGAGCAAAAACTTGTTAGTAAGATTATCCCAAGGGAAAAACAAAAACTTTTTAAAGCTAGTACAGTCAAACTATTATAAAAATGTAAACAGAACATACCTTTGCAGAAGATATTCTTTGTACTAACTTGTCACTTTCATTGATATATATAGGCGAGTCACGGACTCTGGTGTATAACATTTCCCAAATAGCAACCTAAAGAAAAGACATGAGTCTATGAATTGAAATTTAAAAAATAACAAAATAATAATAATTATAAAATTGAAGTGAGTTTGTGGGTTGAAACAAATTGAGAGAGAGAGAGAGAGGGAGGTGAGGGCTTACGGGGTACAGGCTAGGGGTGTTTCCCTTTGATCTTCGTGCTGTGGTGGCGGTCACGATAGCAGAGGAGGAAAAAGGTAGAGCTCTAGTGGCAGTCAAGATGGCGGACATGAAATGAGGCCGGACAGAGAGAGAGCAACCTGAGAGAGAGAGAGAGAGCTGTGACCTGCAAGCAGAGAGCGAATGAGAGAACAAATAGGGAAAAATCATGAGTCTCATTTGAGAATTTCCAAAAAGCCATAGTTCTGTAGATACTTATTTGCGACAATAACGATACTGTTGACAGTAAGATAAATATTATGCAAATAAACATATTATTTGCAACAGTACAATATTGCCATCACAAATAAATATATTATTTGAGACGGTAATGTTGCCATCTCAAAAAGTACATCTTTACCACGTCATTTATACCGTCACAAAAAACTCCATAGCGAAAGATGCATTTTCTAGTAGTGTACCCACCCACATCCTAACACTTAACATAGAATTGTAACCCTTTTTGATTGACCATGTGCCTTTTCAAATGCATAAACATACATAAAATAGAAAGGGTCAGCCTATATTTTGTTAATGCAAAACAGGACAATAAAGAAACAAAAAAGAAAGAACAGTCTACATGGTAAAATTTTGGTAGTACCTATCAAATATAAGGTGATCCAAATCCACACCAAGAGCCAAAGAGCACAAGATCCTGCCTACATAGACATATTGATGTGCTTGTAATGAATTGATACCAACATGCTTGTAGTAACATAGCATCAAACAAGCTAACTGTTTGTAGACCTTTCACTGCACATCACAACAGGCCCATACCTGCTGTCTGTCCCTCTAGCTTCAGAGAATCACTGAGGCACTCCTCTGTGAACCTAGATATTGCATGCTTCTCCTCTAGTGTCTTTATCTTCTTATGAAGTTCTGTAATCTCTTTATGTACTTTGGTGCTAGTGAGCTGCATAGAAGCTATCCTCTCCCGGAGCTTATCAATCTCCCTATCTTGTTCGGAATCGATGATCTCTTTAGAATCTAACAGTGCACATTGCTCTCCAATCTCTTCATCCAATTTGGCAAGGGTGAGGTCTGTAGAAACATCAGCTTGGAGACCAAAGTGAGAACGCACCACTCTCGTCAAACGACCAAAGGCAAATTGAATTTCAAAGCCAGCATAGTGGCCAAGCATGAAGCAGTGAAACCAACTCAATAGTAGATTTGTAGTAATGTCCTTGACCTTGGTACTCAACATGCAGTTTACAGCATCACATACTGTCATTATGTATAACATCTTTGCCTTTGGACTCAAAGTGGACATGCCACTGAAGTCCCCATATTTCCCAAACAAGGTTCCTAAGATGGGTGCCAAGTTCTCAAGGATCATATAGTTATCAACCTTGATAAGCTTTGATGTGGAATTCCAATTTTCCCAAGGCATTGTGACTTGATTTTTTGAAACAAGTATTTTCATAATCTCAGTAGAGGCCTCGTTTAAATACAAGGAATCTTTTGGATTGTCACTACTATCACCTTGGCTGTCCCTCCTATAGGCATCAAAAACACCTTGTACTTCCTTGTTCTCGTCCCCATTGAATGAATCTAAAAATTGTTTTAATGTCAATGAAGTTGGCTCCTGAAAAGTACCAAAGCACAAAATCATGACAATAACTTTTTGAAACAATTAAGACAATAACTTTTTGAAAGAATTAAGCTTTGCTAGAAGCTTAAGTTAAAGAATTCATAATGGAATTAAATCTAAAAATAGCTCCTGTACACAATGTACTTTCACCAGAACACTAAGGCAGATTTTACCTCAACTTGCTCTGCAGCTCTATTGCTCTCTTGCTCTGACCACTCTTCCTCTAGAATATGAATGATCTAACAGGCAACAATAACTTAAGTTAGAACAACTGATCACCGTATAAGTTAAGTAAAGAGAGGATAAATAATAAAATATGGGATCAGATCACTAAAATTGATTACTTTTCTACATTTCCATAATTGATTCTTTTCTAGAAGTCCCAGTTTTTACTTCATTGAAAAGCCACTAGAAAGTGTCAAAAACATTTTATTTAATGTAGAAGTTTCCATAGGAATTCCAGTGTATTTTTATAGATCCAGAAACGTAAAGAACAAAAAGAAAAAAATAAAAAAAAAATCTTTGTAATCTAAACTAGAAAGTATTTTGTGCTATAGAGATAATTTTTTTCATCAATTATTAGTTTGGGTTTAGGCAAAACAGATTTTTCCTCTAAAAACCCAAAAATGTCTCAAAACATTATAAATGGAAAATTCATTCACTACTATCTTGTTTAACCACCCTAGTTTATTGTTAATGTAATTGCACCATTCTAAAACATGGCTGATGTAGGACAGCTGTGCGACAACTTTAAAGCTGAATTTCCAAATATTGCCACTTCTTTGAATTTACTCTTCCTTGTGCTTCTTCTACTCTACATCATTGGCTAGACGGCATTTTAACAACTTTTTACATTAATTGTAAATGCAAATATACACCCCCAGACTGAGATATCTCCCGTTACATTTCCATACATCATTGATGTGGCAGTCAACAATGACAGATCTCCTATTACGTTTCCATAGTGGAAGTCAAGAATGCGCACTATGGAACCTTAGCAACCAGACATGACTGCATCAAGACAACAGTAGCAAAACCACACCCTCAATTAACTAAATTAACGAGCTAAATCGTAACTTGACTATAAACCCAACGAATTAAGTCTCCAATGTCAAGACTTTTCTAAAACTTAAGTGCCATAGGCCAGTTGTCATTATTAACCATAAAAACATATATTAAGAACGCAAGGTAAATATACAATTCTTTAAACTATATAAATAACAAGATTCCCAATCTATAAAATTAGTCAATTTTACTTAATAAAGCATGCTTTTAAATGATAAGCATATATTTGGTGTGCTATTATCATCAACCAAAGTGTATAATTTTGAAGTGGAACTAAATCTACATCACATGCAGCTGTACCCATAACCTTTCCCACTTACATAGACAAGCCCCACTATGTCAGAGGGTTATGAATATGGCCGTTCAAGCAATGGATATAGCCACTCCACATTCTGATAAAATTTTAATCTGTTTTAGAAAACTAATCACTATTCCAATTTTAGTAGAGTAAGGTAAAAGGAGAAAGCAATTTGCATTGGCATTATCCATTAATTAAGAGAGTTTAAAGCTGCATGTAATTGACGTTGAAATTCAACAAGGATTATCCACAAATTCATGAGCCACAAAATCCAAAGTAAAATTTAAAAGAAACTCTTGAAATCAACTGAAGCATTTGGGTTTGAATTAAAATGATGTGAAAAAATGTGACAACTGTTCTTTCTTGAGATAGTTTTAAAACAAAAAGAAGTTCGATTTTAAAATAAAATATTTCTTTTGATTTTAAAAGTTCCTTTCAATTTATGCTTTTTCTTTTTTATTTTTTAGGGGCCTTTCAATTTGTGCTTTTGAATAATCACACCATGATTAGTTGACTGACATGTACTTTCAGACAATTATAAACCATGACTTCATTTTTCAGATAAAGCAGATAAAATAAAACTGCTAGGGGCTATATCCACAGCCTTGTTTGCTGTATACACAACCATTTAAGCTATGTATAAAAACGCTCCCAATGGAATTTTCTTCTACAGTTGAATCAACATATCATAAAGTAAGAAAAATTAAAAATAATTTGTGAACAAGTGATGATTTGATGAATTCAACTTTGTGTTGAAACAAAAGGTCAAACTTAGAATCCCAGCGAAATACTTTAGAAGATTTAACCAAGAAGTCCCGGGAACGAATATTTTACACCAATCAGTCTAACATAAAAAAATAATAAAAATATTAGTAGAGCAATAAGTCCCTCATGTTAAAAGCAGACAGCGATGCCCCTCAGAGCAACACACGCTTAACAAAGCTGTCAGGGCTCTCTAATTTGTTTACAAACACTTAAAACTAAAACAAATTTTTCTATTCAAATCCGTTTTCTTTAAAATTTACAATTTTTTGAATCTACTCATTGAGATCTATTAAACAAGTTCCATATTGATTATGAAAAATTGTCCCAGAAAAAATTGAAGTGTGTCAATTTTGAGACCAAGAAACTACGACAAATCTCAGATTATGTGGAACTTTTTCTAATTGAGTTTAAAAATGTCTTGAGCTATTTTCTTAGTTTTGCAAACAAGAAAATGCAACTTCTCACTTTTGAACTTGAAAAACTGAAGCATGTCGCAGTTTTGAACTGAAAAAACTGAGACATATTTGACTTTCTTTTTCACAAAATTTTACATTCAATATGGATCTTGTTTGATTGATCTCAACGAGTAGATTTCAAAAAGATAAAACTATTAGACATTGCTATGGGGAACTGAACTAAACAGGGATTTTGAGCTATCTGGTTAGTACTGCAGATGGACCATTGCAAGCAGATTTAACGACAAAAACACAACAGATAACCAGCTTTGCTAGAATATGCGTCAAGAATGTTGCACCCAATCAATTAAATGCTTACTTTGATATTTACTAGGAGAAGGACACATTACTAAAATTGAAGTTTAGTACCAATAGAAACCATTGGTGTGTAACAAATGCAAAATATTTTGACATAATACGAGCAAATGTTCTAAAGTAGCAGGCAAGTATGGAGACTATTGAGTTGTAGGACAATCTTCACTGTATTTAAAAAGATTAAATTCTGTTGTGTACAAAACAACAACAAGAATAAAAGAAATAGAGAAAATGAGAGAATTTGTTTGATTACAAAAATCAAACACAAAATAAAAATAAATAAATAAAACCACAGATTTTATTTTGTTACAAAAACAAAATTAAAATCTGATTAAATAAACAAATAAAAACAGAATTAAATTAAACAACTTACTTGGTTAATTTATTTGCGTCTGTCCGGTCGGGCGGACGGGCTGGGCTTGGGCGCGGGTGCG